ATGGAGCTTCAGCCAAGAGCTCATGTGATTTCCCTCTGTGCTGGCAGGATTTTCTCTTTGGGACGAGGACCGATGCTCTCTCCTCACCACTTCCTTAGACACACACCATTTATGTTTAATAAATGTCACTGTGTTGGCTTCCACTGTGTCAGAGGTCTCTTCTTGGTTTTAGATTAAGACCAACATTTTGGGCAATGGTCAGATATCCCAAAGGGAAGTAGCTATTTGATAATTAAATGTGACAAAAGGATTCTATTCCAAGTGTTAATTACTTCAAACACAGTTGAAAATGTATTGTGAAGTAACGAAGGATTTTTAAAAGTCAGATCTCACAGAGGGGAGTAGGAAACCACAGAGCAGCACGACTTTTTTTTTTTTTTTAAGTTGACATTTCTTAAGGCTGCCACCCCAAAGTTCCCACTGAATTCAGCAACTTTCAAATTAAAGTTTCCAAATATATATCACCTAGCCACAGAGCAGTGCCTTTCCTGCATTAAAGGAAAATATCAGCAAGCAAAAGCCATAGGCATGCTTTTACAGAAACACCAAGAACAATTAATTAGGACATCAGGAATCCCTGTCCAAGAAATACTAGCATTAAAGAAACATTCAGAGTAAAAATTTTTAAAACTCTGCTGAGTCCTTCATTTTCACTTTATGAGTTGCCACGTTGGAAAAGGCCAAGCAAAGCAGAGCAGTAAAGCGCAGACGAACGTGGGAAGGCGTCCTGCAGCCACGCCGAGGGAGGGTTCAGTCTTTCTGTTTTCAGCACTGTCATTCGTCATAGTTTTCCAATAAAAATAAAGACTGTAAGGATGGATGTTGCTGCCCCCGAGCATGAGCCTGGGGGCATTTGAAACGGTCTATTTGCTATCTACTCAGGTCAATACATGGTGACCACTGGCAGGGCCTCTCCTACCACTCTACCCATGTCTTAATAATGTCTTAATAATAAAATGTTTCCCACCATGGCAAGGTCACTTCCTGTCCAGCACGAGGCACTTGCCATTCTAGCTGAAATCTTGGGCTCCACAGCTTTGGCAGGTCTGGTGACTCCAGTGAGTTCCCATTTAAAATAAAGGTAATTCTAAGTCAGAACATCTGATTTCCCAAAGTCCACACCCTCACAGTCACGGGCTCTTTCTGTCTTCTGGAGCACTGGGAGCCCACCTGCCCCTTCCGAGCTCCCCTGAACACCATGCACTCTGGCCATGCGGGGTCAGGACTGTGTGCACCGTGCTTCTGTGGCTTACCATGCCCTCCCCTGGCACAGTTGTCCATGTGCTGCTCTCTTCACTTTCTCTTGCTTGCTCATTTGCTTCTTATGCTTAGTTTATAGCACACGTAACGGTCTCTTTACACATCTATTTACACGTGCATCTTCCCTCTCCATGTGACGCCCCATTCTCACACTCCCTGTTCAAACCATTTTTTAGTCCCTTTGAAAAGTCCTATCTAAACATTATTTAAAGGTTTTCCACGACTTTCAGGCTGAGAGTTCAAACACTAGTCCCTCTACTTTTCTTTCCCTTCCCACTAAACACACATAGCACCGTGACACAACTCCCTGGTGGGATCTCCATGCCTCGGCACAAACAGAGCTCCTCCTGGGGGGCCCTCCCAGCTTCTGGTTGTGCCTAATCAAGCCCTGCATCTCTTATCTCAGTTTCCCCCTTCAAGAACCACCAGCCCACAGGCTGTGCCCCTTCCACCAGCTCCCCTGCAGCACAGCATTGCGTTTACATGTGCACTTGCCGCTCTAGACAGTGACTATTTGAAGGCAGAGTCTACTTACTTGAAGTGCATGTTAAAAGAACAAATTTAAACCTCTTTTGTGATTTCCCTCTGTTATTTCCACCTTTGTGTGGTTTTGAAGTTTAAGAAGAGTCATCGAGCTATTCTTATATCATGCAGAAAAAAGTTATACATTTTGATGTGAAATTAGGTATAATAAAGAGCCCAAATTATACACAGTTATGGCCTTGGCAGTGCACCGGAGCCCCTTGGAATGACCACACGCCTTCATTTACTTTTCCATCTTCTGCCAATAAATCTCCTGCTTAAGAACCACCTCTTCAGTTTTAGTATCTTTATATTTTTAATTGTTAGTATTGTGACAATACTGTACCCTGGTACTTAGCCACATTTTAGACTAAAACAGCCTTTCTTTGCTACTCTAAGAAGCAAATGATTAATTACAACACTGTTTCTTAGGTTAAGTGTGCTCTGAATTGTATTAGATGACCACAACTCTTGTACATAGCAGTGAATAGTTGGTGCTATATCATGTTCCTATGGTTTAAAATAATTCAGAATTGTTTGTTCTAACATAAAAGTAATTTTATTTAAC